ATAGCAGAAGCACGCGTCATTCCTATGAGCGTCCTGCTCATGCAGGAAACTTTAAGGCTTCATTTGAGACACTTAACTCAATATGACGATCACTCTCTCGCCACGATAGAATCTGCACGTCCAAACTCAAGCTACTCCAAGGCGCTGTCCCAGGTACGGCAATACTTGCCAGGAGATCTTACACAAGCCACAGTTTGCACAACACCTCCGTGGAGATTTCCGGAACCAGATGTCAAACTTGATATTCCCGGTATAAAGAAAAAATCAAATATGCCAATGGTCGTGATTTTACCGGTTTCTTTGTCCCATATTTACGGTAACCATCTCTCAAGAACACATGTCTGCGCTGACGGCTCATGTACCTTTGATAGTTCTACTTGCTGTGTAGTCATTCAAAGTCATTGTACAAGTGCGATTCAAGCTAAGCTACATAACTTCATCTACCGTGTCAGAGCTAGTGGCAATTCATCAAGCACTTCAAATCGTCTTCACAAAATCGTCCCACCCCTGGACAATATTTTCTGACTCAAGCCGGCCCTCCAAGCAATATCAGCATTTTTGCGACGCGGCCAAAATGACTAAGTGGTTTTAGAAATAAAGACCCTTCTGATGCGGTGTTTGGATCTAGGACACACTATATCCAGTTTCAGTGGATACCAGGACATTGTCGTTTAACTGGAAGCGAGGCTGCAGACGCAGGTGCGAAGTTAACCCATCCTCTCGATGCAACTATTACAGTTCCGTATTGTCGGAATGATATTAGATGCCTTATCAATCGTCACGCCGCCAGCGCAAGGAGAAGGCCTGTGGCGCGATGTCTCCTACCATTATGCTCCACTCTATACGTTGGACCCAAACCTTACCTTTCAACTTCCACGTGATCTTCTCCGGAGGACAGAGGCAGCAATACATCGCCTCCGGCTCGGTGTCGCTTATAGGTACACAGTCCTTCCTTCACCGCATCGGGCAAGCCAGAACGGCGGAGTGTCTAACGTGTGTTTGTGATAAAACAATTGCTCACATATTGTGCGACTGCCAAATCTACGACGCGGAAAGAGAAGACCTAAAGAGTACGTTGTTGCAACTAGACAGCCGACTGTTTTCTGTCATGAAAGTGCTTAACACCTGGGAAAGCCATCAGGTTGCAGCGAGGGCCACAAAAGCTTTTCTGCGTTTCCTAAAGGAAGCGCGGCTGAACTTCTGCCTCTAAAGGACACACATATTTTATTTGTAATGTGTTTTATACTTTGTGCTCTCTTGTCACTATTTTTTTTTCCAGACGGATTTATTGTTTTGTGTTCTCCTATCTTTTCCATTATCTTTTAATTCTCCACAACCCCCTCCCCAAAACAGGATAGCCACCCAGGACTTTAACCTAGGTTAACCTCTCTGTTCTTCCTTTTCTGACTCTTTCTCTCTCTCTCTGGCTTTATTTATTTCTTGCGTGTGTTCAGTTTGAATAAAGATGTCGGTCCCCGTAAAAGCGGCCCCGCTTTTCCATGAAACGTGTAACCGTCGTGATTGCGACCATGGTTTCAATACCGAAACGATACCTATACACATATGTGTGTTTGCGAGCAATTTGGCTAGATGCAAGCGGGCGTTCGGCTCACATCAAGTTTATGTGTGTTCCCGTCATTTCTCTTGGAAAGGAAAGTAGCTCTCAAGTTTTGCAGTGCACGTCGCCTAAAAACGTGACCATGACCTCCACCTAAATTGCGTCTAACAACGTAAGTATTGCGCAAAAAGATTTCTATTTGTAATAGATTTATAAAAAAAAAATACGTGGTTTAGATAAGTTTTTTTTTAATGTTTCCTTTTATTGTACTGTCCCTTTAAACCAGCTTGCCTTTATTCTCGCCTTAGCAGAGGTTCTTCCTTTCAATCTCTCCTTCACAAACCTTGATGACCTAGTAATGAGGATCACGGGAGTGAAGTAGTCAGGGGACGACCCCATGGCGACGACAATCAAATGCGGCTCATGTATGGGACACGGGCACCACGCGAGCAGTTGATTTGGCTCGTGATAATGAATGCCTCGACGAGCATACGTGTACTGGCTTGTGCCCAATCAACGTAATGACGGAAATAGCCGAACAATGCCTGGGATTCAGCGCGTGCCCTCTGCTGTGACAACCACAATGCGTTGCTTGAATGAGCATACGCGGTATATAATCTGCACGATATCACGTGGTGGGTTATACTGGCGTATTCTGACTGCAAGTTGAAAGGGTGAACGCTGCTCGTTCTTCACTAATTTTTCTGGTAGGCTATATTATGAAGGTGAAGGATTCATTTCAAGTTGTACTTACTGGAAGTACAAAATGTCTTCCACCGTAAGTCTTAAAAATAGAACTCTTGAGCACTGTTAAACGCTTACTGGTGCTGCCTATCCGGCCGTGCGTGCATGAGAGCTTGAGAACAAGGTTTTTGTGTTTTCAATTAGTAATACAGTTTGTTTAATAAAGAACTTTATAAAATAAGTCTGATCTTGACCGTTAAGAAAATGAGTATGATCTAGATCAGCAATAAGACCAGTGTGATCTGGATCGTCAATATAATAAGTGTGATCTAGATCGTCAATAAAATTAGCGTGATTTCTTTATGCAGTCAAAAAATTAGTGCGATCTAGACAGTTTCTACATTCACCGTGATCTTGAACGTTAATAAAAGTGGTGCGATCTAGACCTTCACTTAAATTCAGATGGGTTTCTTCCTTACAGATCCCGTATTGGTAAGATTCATAAATTCAAAGCCAGGATATCTTTGGTTCCAGTGATTGTGCCTTTGCAATAGCAACGTCGGTGGCAATATAATGATATCTATGCAAGCGCGAGGTTACGGAGGCTTACAGCAGTGGACAGCTGAGCCGTAAACCGCAATTGCGCCGATGCGCGAAGTTTATTTCAGTCCCAAGCAAAGTTTCGTTGTCGCTTTAGGTAAGCGACACGGCCGACCAACACTCAATGAAGCAAGGCTAACTTCTGCTCCAGTTTGAGAGCGAGCAGTCTGCGTTGCACTTAGAAAGAGGAGCAGCCTATAGACGCCTTCTGGCAGCTGTGCATGGGCGGCGCCATAATCGACGTTCAGTTTTTGTTTTCTCTTATTCCGTTCGCTTCACTTCATCATTGCCACATCAGGACAGATTATTACCACTTTAGGTGCCACTCTGTCCTTCTCCCTAGTATTGGTTTTTGCGGAGGCTCGTCAATGCCCGCTTCAGTGGCTCGACATCTCGGTAACACAAGGGAAGGTCGGCTATGGCGGCTCAATATGGCGCGTGCTTAAAGCGTCTGACTCTATACTCGGCGTTAACAATTATGTGCTACATTGTAAAGGCTAGCGTAGCTTCCACAGTGCTGCAGCCCTGCACTGCTTCGAAAGCACGTGGCTTCGTCTTGCGTCTCATTTGCATAAGTTTGCTCAACTATGCGCCCAGAAAGTGAGGGGGAGGAGGAGACAAGAGTGCGCGGGGACATCAAAATTCAAAGCTCAGATGGGAATGAATAGTGGGTAGACCTAAAGCCTTTGTCTCCACTGCACTTATTAACACATTAGGACGCGGAACGCCGGCGTCTGGCACTTGGCTTTTTGGCTCTTGCGTTGGAACACGTTCGACAAGTGAACTGGAGACAAAGGAAGCTATCTTTCTGTCTACCCACTGATCATGTCCAATCGGAGCTCGGCGTTCTGACGTCCCCTCTCGTCTTTTCCTCTCCTTCAGTTTCTCGGCGCATAGCTCTGACAGAGTTGGAGCACTGCAGAAGATATACCGTATTTACTCGAGTAATAGCCGCACTATTTATGAACAGAGCCCTTGCTTCTACTTTCCCGCAAAGCACATATACAGCCAATCGTCGCGTTGCGCATAAGTAACATAGCAAATAATCAGATCTAGAACGCGATTCTCCATACAAATGCAATCTTCACAGATGGTATCTTCGCGCGAAGACGTTATCTCTGTCCTGTAAACCTATGGAGTCATGTTATCGATCGCGGTTATTTGGCAATCAGCATGCTCCGCGGAAAAGCGAACCGGTTTTCTTCATAAATGGTGCGGCTATTACTCGAGTAAATACGGTACGCTATAGCCTCGACAGCGCAGCAGAAAATAGTTGACGCCGAATATAGACATGCCCATATATGGTAGCGCCAAGGAACAGATTCACTCAGAAGTGTCGCAGTTTTTATAACTTTTTATATGCTTGCCCCATAGCTTACCCAGGCGTGAACGTTTTCTAGCCTTTTTAAAAGCCTTGATTATAATTCAAAATAATTTTTTTCACCAATTAGATGGTTTAAGTTATACAGACATGGGGTGATTCTAAGCAGAAAGATTATTCAGAAACACGAGCCCAGACGTCTGCCTTGCACAGAGAAATATGAAAATGGTAAAAAAAAAGTATGCAAGGATTAAGTGAAGAAGGGAATAAGAGCAATGAGACATCTGTAGTTTGACTATTTTGCCACAATTAATGCCAGAAGTCATTGAACTTGTAACGAAACTCTTGACTCAGGTTCAGTTACGAAAGCCCAAAGGCCCTCTGAAGTATAGTTCTCTCGGTGACGTAAGGGGCGCACTACGATAGTGTGTGTTTTATCGCTTAGTCAGAAATCGGCAGTTAAATTTCACAATTTAACTCTTCTAATAAAACTTGAAGCATCGCAATTATTCTTGATCGTCATGCTACACAGTTGTTTAAGGTTTGCATTGCTATGCCAACAAATTCTTTTTTCTTCTTCTAATTCACGCATACGTATATTAGCACAGTAAAGAGCCTCACACACACACATTGAGTGCTATGACTGACTCTTTATAGCCCAGGCTGAAGAAACTATTTCTACATAATAAATGTAAACTTAAGAGAAAAAAAAATCACCACGCTCGTACATGAAGCTAGCTGCGTTGGGAATAACTTGTTAACACTAATCTTCACAGTTGCCGTGTGACTTGTTCATTTTTACAATACTAAAACAATAGGCCCTTGATTTCTTTGCAGGCTGTGGAATAACGGATAGGATCACATCCATCATCGTTGGTAGCCAAACTTCTACAGCTGCGGACTGGCCTTGGCTGGTTTGTAAACATTCTCATCTTGTCTGCGAAAAAAGCGAATGCACTGTGGCGTCTTCGATGCCCCATACGCTAGCTATACACTGACTGCGAAGAGGCGCATTTTGCATCTGTGTTGTGAAAAACAGAGCATGCACACATATTTGCCAGGTACTTTGCGAATTTAAAAATGAATTGGCAAGATATCAGTCTGAGTTTTTAATGCTTGAAAATGCGGTGTTAAAGCCGTCATGAAACGATATCGGGTTGGAATGTTAATGGCTTTACAGAGGTGTGTTGGTCCTAGCCTGGCCCAAGTATACTCGCACTGTACTCGCACGAACCGCCACTGATTCAGAAGCTTCTTGGTTGCGGCGAAATTGCGAGGATAAAAGGAGACTATTTCTTCCAGCCATTGGCTTCGCAAAGCTTGATGACGTATTTGTGGGACCGAAACCACCCGCCGGGCGACAGTCGAGCGCAGCTCATGGATTGGACACGCGAGCTGCGTCAGCACTCAACTTCGGCTCGTAACAATCAATGCCTCGGCGGACACTCGGGTAGTGGCTCGTGTCCAACCACTGCGGTGATGAGAATAGCCAAACTCTAGCAAGCCCCGGAGTTCAGCACGCGTTTTCCACTTTTTCGAACCCAGCGCGTGGCTATGATTAACGTTGGCGGCATAGGGCAGGGAGTATTCACTGGACGCCATATTTGTGGGTGCTGTTTAGAGCGCATGCTCAGAACGAGCTCACATCAATAGGCTGCTAAGACCGGCACTCTTGATGCTGCGGAATGCACGTTGTAATAGGACTGTGGAAGCTCGCCATCAGCACGCGCTCATCATTCGCACACACAGCTATGGCCGCCAGTGAATACTCCCTATAGGGAGTATTCACTGGACGCCATATTTGTGGGTGCTTTTTAAAGCGCATGCTCAGAGCGAGGTTACATTAATAAGCTGCTAAGACCGGCAATCTTAATGGTGTGATATGCACACTGAAAAAGAACTGTGGAAGCTCGCCGTCAGCACGCGCTCAGCAGTCGCTCACACAGCTATGGCCGCCAGTGAATACTTCCTATTGGTGACGTGAGCGGTCGAAAGCGTCGCTGTGGTCGGCCCACCACAATTGGCCGAATGCTGACTATGACGTCAGCAAAGGATGTCTCATCGACGGAAATAAGAGGAATGTAAGAACTTCAATTCTGACGGTGTTGGCAGTGTCGCTTTGAGAGCGCTGCGATTTTGGGCTTTCACCTGCTCATTACAAACACCAGTGAACTGGTTGTTCACAGGGTAATGACGTCACGAAAGGTAACCAAACGAGGGAGCCACCGAAACATCTCGCGGCTAATAGGCACCAGGGGGGCTAAGCTCGGCGCGGCGAGATCGAGGCGAGTTCTCCGCCAAACTCGCCGACCGCCGTGATTGGTCGGCGCCGTGCATGACGACACGCGCCGACACTCCCTAGATCGTGACGTTAAACGGAGGGTTTGAGACGGTCGGAGAGTTGCATATCCGGAACTCGCGGCGAGATGCGGTGACGTCATTGTGACGTGGCAGAAGCCGCCGCGGATGGGAAAAGCTTGCCGGCTCCGACCTAGGCGAGTTTGGGCGAGTTGGGCGCGAGATCAGGGAGAAGCGTCCAAAATGGCAGCGTTTTCGTTCGTGTTTTGCCGTCGGCATAGGTATTTAAACCACGCCAATGTGTTTGACATGGACGACGTTCATTTTCAACAACACTATCGCCTCTCGAAAGACGTGGTAAGGTGGCTGTGCGATGAACTGCGTGGCGAACCGGGCTTGAGGCGATGGAGCCGTCAATGAACCGTCACCCCCGTCGTGAATCCTACATCCAAATTCTACAAAGTGAATCCTAGAAACAAATGCGTTTTTACGGCTATCTGCAACCAGTAACGCAATTTACCATTACCTACAGGCTTTTACAATTATTTTGATGGGTTGCTCTGCTGCGTAGATGCAAGATAAACGCACTTGATAAAATTCGAACTAAAACAGATGATAGAAGAAAAGCAATATACATGAATGGCGCAGACTAACTGTGTAATTTCTTTCTCATCTTTCTTCTTCCACACCGTATTTCGACAAACAAATTGGCCGTTAGTTGTTTATACAGCAGGAGAACATGCCAGAACACTGCGACATTGTCACTTACTGTAGATAAGCAATTTAGCCAGTGCAGTATGACTGCTAGCCCAGGGTCTTTAACGTGCACCACGTAGTAGTGATATACGACCGATGCTCATCAACATCGAAAAGGGCAGGGGTGGGGGTGAATCCACGATCCTGGGTTCTGCAGCGCGAGCTTTCGCTCCACGCGCACCCTATTCTGAAAAAAAAAAAAATATATATATATATTGTGGCTGTGTGGCGGTGTGGGGGGAGAAAGATGAGAAAGAAATTACACAGTTGTTAGTCTGCGCCATTCCTGTATGTTGTTTTTCGTCTATACTCTGCTTTAGTTTATATATTTATCAAGAGCGTTTTTCTTGCATCTACGTGGCGCAGCAAACCATCACAATGTCTAGTCAACTAGCCCACATCCAAGCAATGTTTGTATAATTAGCATCCCTGCTGTTGCCTATTCTTATTTGTCATTTACGATTTAAATAAAAAAATATTGGGCTGTATGTATGTTGATACTTCCTAAAACTTGGTCTGCCTCAACGGGAAAGGTTCTCCCAGCTGTAGATGAGAAATATAGCCATGCAGTGCCGTACAACCGCTAGCCTGGGGTCTTTAACGTCCATCCCGCAGTAGTGTTACACGACTGCACGCCGGTACGATGCTCATCAACATCGAAACGGGCAGGGGTGGGGATCGAACCCAGCATCCTGGGTTCTGCAACGGACCTTTCGCTCGTCGTGCTCCGAGCTGGTGTGCGCTAGCCCAGCCGGCCACCGATCCCCCGATTTAAATAAAATAAAAACCCTTCACTGCGGAGCGTAGGGAAAAATCGGAGCTACGCTGGGGAACTCGCCGCCGCCGGGGGGGTCGGAAATGTAAGAGGGGAAGTGAGAAACTCGCCGGGGCGGAGTCAAAAGAAGCTCCTCCCCTCCCTTGTGACGTGGCATCGGAGAGATTCCCGCCGGAGGCGAGCTTAGCCCCCCAGGCCACGTAACCGTTTGTTCTCGCTTCAAATTGAGGGGATGACTGATGCTCATACTTCTCGAATGTATTTGCCGACTGCCATCGCTTAGGAAGAAAAACTAAGGCAAGTTTATTCGGTTATTTAACGTTAAGGGGTCATTCTGCGTAGTATATAGCGAAATTAGAAATGTTTCACAACTCCTTTAACGAAAAAATCAAACAAATTCAAATTCAAAAGTGCAAAATAAAAAATCCACGGAGAGGAACTTAAATTAAGAAATTAAATAAATATAAGGGACCGCAACTGCACAAATGTCCCAGAGGATACAACGGGGATTTTGTTGTCAAGCCTCGTCTCTTTTTCACTGGTCAGTCTGTTGGGTCTTCTTGATTGCAACCGTCGATTACCGTGTGGGAATCCGGTTGCAGATTTGTTGGTTTAGCAGAGTCGGTGTCTCAGCCAAGAAGCCAAAACTGTTTCCCGGACAGTCCTTGTTCGGGGCACTGGGAGCCGGCTGACCAAACCCGGTGCACAGGGTGGGCTGGAGGGTGTAGGTGCAATCATTGCCCGCCTTTGCTCCACTCCAGTGTTCCAAGAAGGAAGGACATGTCAACGAGCGGTATCATGAGATGTGCGCGCGTCCTGCTTAGATGCTTGTCGCGTCGCCGTTTGTGCTGGGATCATCTGGCATTGAAAGTAGTCATCACACGAGCGGCGGCTGCTAATCGTTTTTTCACCCACTGCACTTGCTATATAATTTCATACAAATGGTCACCCGTTAAAACAATAAAGAAATTTAAGAGAACCGTAGCACCTCGAGAATAATACGAAAATTGAGTAATTACATTTGAGGGAGACGTGTTAGATTACCTTCTCGGAAAAAATATGCCTTCATTGAACTTTCCGGTCCCTCGGCTAAAAACACGAATGTACGCCCAGTGACTAAACGCCTTTCAAATGTAGCTCGCACAACGCTGACCTGCTGTTCAAATTGCTCTCCAATGATGTTTGTCTTCCGGGTTTGGTGACGGGGTTTGGCTTGCTTTGTAGATGATAAGTTTCTTAGAGATGAACACCCCAAAGCAGATTCAGAACATCCGAGCGTGTGTGATACGATATGTGAGTAACAACGACAACCAAACATTTTTTTTTCTTCAGCTGCAGAGGAAATACTAGGTGTTTGTTTTCTTCCATTTCTTTTTTCTAAAAAATGAAAGACGTTGACAAATCTCTGTAAAGGCTGTTTCCCATGCTGCGATTCTCGTCCGAAATCGGTGCGATTTCCAGTAAATGTTGTGGGAGCCGCCCGCTCCACTTCCCTGATTAGGCCCTAATCCTATGGCCGCGGGAAAAGCGCTCCGAGCTGTCCAACCGTCAGCCGAAGCGCCCCGTCTTGTGCCTCGGAGGAGCAGCCATCTTGGCTGCTTACCCTCGCATCGCATGCCTCCATCCCAGCGCTGCACGTGCCCACACCAGTCTGCTCGGGAAATGGACAGCAGAGCTCTCATGACGCGCTTTTACAAGATGCATCACGAATCATTGAGGGCCTGTCCGGAGCCATGCAGTCTGTTTTGTCAGGACCGCGAGCCACGCGAACACCGGTCCGAATCCCCATACTTAAATAAAAGGGGTACGACGACGCGGTCAGCGCAACTGCCTTCCTGGAGGATCTGCTTCACTACCAGCAGGCCACGGGGTTGTCTGACCAGGAAATTCTGGGCCGCATTCTGCAGGTCGCCCTCACCGATCAGGCAGCCCGCTGGCTTCGCCTTGCCGGCCAGCATGCGCTCACTCTCTATGAGTTCCGGGTGTCTTTTCGCCAGGAATTCCTCCCCGCGGATTATGAGCAGAGGATGCGACGAGAGTTGGAGCGACGGACCCAGCACCCGGACGAATCGCTTCTCGAGTATG